TCTCTAATATTCTTTCTATATCATTCTAATAGGGAACATTTATAACATCATGTCTTCAGCTACAATGAGACAAAAGGGGGGACGGAGGCAAGACGGCTATCAATCATTTCCCAACTCGAATCAAAGGTATATATAAATGTTTTCCGCAAAATTTTTAGCTTTGACGGAGTATACTTAAACGTAGCGCTATTTATCATTTAATAGTCATAACAATCGGAACTCTAAAAAATGGAATAATAATACAAATACACATCCCGTAAATAACGCATCAAGAAATCAATCAATTCCTCCAACTGCTCAACCGTCTGCTAATCACCATAACAACAACACACCATCTTCTGGTTCAAACTCCCTTAAAAATATTGAACATGTCGTTCACGACGAGATTGCTGCAAAACATATGCATGATCGTATTTTGTTTTTACTAGCGAATTTTGTGGTAGGTGATTCTTCAAAAAATTCTAAATTATAAAATATCTTATTTTATATGTTTTCTTATTGTAAACTCTGACATATCTTAATTCTTAAATCTTGATTGAAATTACATAGGGTACTAATGTGATAGTTACAGTCAAAAGTGGTATAAAATATCAAGGCCTTTTATCCCGTGCTTGCACAGAAAGCGAATTAGGTGTTGTCTTGAAATGTGCTCGAAAAGTCCTTTCCAAACAAGATGAAAAAAGCATACCTAATAGTATGATAAGCGAATTTATTATATTGGCTAAAGATTTAATGGAGATTTACGCAACTAGTGTAGATTTTTCCTCGTCTGAAAAAACATCGACCGAACGTGAAGGTAATAATAATTTCTCCTTTTTAACTGATTGATTTTCTGCAACTTAATTTACATTATAAAAATTTTAAATTTTAGGATTCAGAACTGACGCTGATATTAGTGGCCGAACTGAAATTCGGGAGAGAGAACTTCATAAATGGTCACCAGATGAATCGGGGGAGACTATGAAGGGTTTAGAATATCCTTTTATGTTTAAAATTTTATAAAATGCTTTTTTCTATTATTTCTTTAAACTATTTGCATAATGCCTTAACGATATCTCACGGACGATATAAATCCAGAGTCTGCTAATGCAAGTTGGGATCAGTTCGCTGTTAATGAACAATTATTCGGTTTAACTACCGATTACAATGAAGAGATTTATACAACAAAATTGGACAGATCAAAGGCGGATTATAAAGAACGAGAAAGAAAAGCTATCAATATAGCTAATGAGATAACTCGGGTATAATATTATTTAATTTCAACTTAATATATTATATAACAAACTAAATTTAATTGTTAACTGTTAAAGGAATCCACGACAAACATTCATATGCTTGAGGAACGTGGTTACATTGTTGAAGATCAAATGGATGAAGAAGAAAGGTGGGGTTTCCATTCGTTATTTGCAAACTCTCAACGACATTGTAACTGAATTAATATTGATCAAATTATCCACTTTTTATAATAAAAGATATGGAGCCGTTGTTCGTAATAGGGATCCAAATAAATACACGCCACCACATTTACGAAAACAGCAAGAGCAACAATCACAGCCAAATGGAGTGGTGCCAACTGTAAAGAAACCAGAAACAAATACTGAAGTTGCAAAAGAAGCTAAAGTTAAACCGCCCGAGGATTTAAAACCTATAACAAAACCTGTGCAGCCTGCCACAATCTCTCCTTCATCATCCATACCAAAAATTCCACCGTTATCTAGTTACAGAATTCCAGAACATGTGATGGCCACACTACATATTCCACGGGTAAGATTTTATAACTTTCAGTAAAGGTGAATGTTCTCATTTTACTGACTTTTCAACTTCGATTATAATTAGAAAAATGGTACTGAGGCAGAGGGAAAACCTATTGAAGGTATATTATTCTCTCATTTGGCTTGAATTAAATAATTACGTAATATATATTATTTTTACTTCAATACTAGCACAAATTGTAAAAGCATATCGTCAATTTGCTACAAGCGAGAAAGAACGCCTTCAGCAAAGAAAACAAGCGATTTTCAAAAAAGAAATGGATGGTAAAATGGCTGAACTACTTAAGTGGGGTCAAAATTTCAAGGTAATTATGTGTTGTGTGGAAATTCATAGTTTATTTACATTCGGTTGATGTTCTAAATTTGGCTATTTCTGAAATTTTTTCTAGCTGAATTCACCTTTACCTGAAGATCTCATTCCAATTTTGACTAAAGATGAAACAAAGCGTCAACAACTTGCGGCAAAGGCCGCTGCAATGAGTGAGAAAGAAAAGGAAAGTGACAAAGAAAAAGAAAAACAAAAGGATAAAGATAAACAAGAAACAGAGAAGGAAAAGGAAAAGGACGATAACAAACAAAAGGAAAAGGTTGCTAATGTTCAGACTTCAGAGCCAAAATTAGAGTTCGTAAAACCATCAATTAAAATTGAAGAGGTTCAACCGCAAAAGTCGAATGGAGAGTCAAAGACAGCTTCGGAAAAGGTTGTATCAGAAAAACCTACTTCAGCGGCCGATAAAGCTCCACCACAATTTCCTCCTGCCAGAACTCCGACAACTACACAGACAAACACCCAATATAAGTTAAATGCCAAAGCACCTGAATGGAAACCTAATCCTAATGCGGCAAGTTTCACTCCGGTACGACCTTACGTATCATGTTTAAAATTTTAATTATTTTGAAATTTTGTAAGCATTCTTATTTGTTTTTTTGACACAATATTATTATTATTTGAATTTAGACTCCTAACTCAAGCTCTGGGGATAAAAGATCTCCTGGTTCGGTAAGTACTCATCTTGCTTTGCATGTTTTTATATAATTAAGAATTCTCCATATAACTGAGGTTTTATTTCATCATTATAGTCACCATTTTTTGGTAATCGTCAATTAAAAAAAATTTTATCGTCACTTAAGGATGGTTTTAGTCCGTTCCAGAAGAGCAAACCTTTACCTAATCCTAGTACAATTCGTAAGTTAAACTAAGTAACACGTGATTTTATCAAATGATTATACTAACTTTATGCAGCTCCTACGTGGCCTTTTGGTCAAAGACCTTTTAGGCATCATTTTACGGTCACCAACAACTACGAGGATGATATTTATTCACAAGCAGCCGTAAATCAAAATTTTGGCTTTGCTGCATACCCCGTAGCTGCTCCCTATCGATATCCTTCTGGTACTCAATTTGTTGGTGTACCACCTATGCCCATGCAGCAAGCGACCCCCATGCCATACTTGCAACCAGGAGTAAGTTTCATTTCTTTTTTTACTAAGTAAATCCTTTAAAATTTGCCTGTTGACATCTTTGTTTTTGTTAGTTTGTACCAGGAATTCCTTTCACTACAGCAACACCAATGCCACCGACTGGCGCTCCACGTAAGTAACTCTTTGTTATCATTATTTGTATCTTAAAGATTTATATAGGGTGATTTATTAATATTTCATTGGCAACCAATTTGTTTAGCTACTATTTACAGTCCGCAAATTTCATCAATGATTCCACGTATGCGATAATTGTTATTTAAATGGTTATTTATTTTATTCTATTTAATCTCACATTTGCTTTTATAGAACATTTTGGTGGTTCACAGGGATTTCAGTCTCCTGGACGTAACCCGATCGTTCCCGCTGGTATACATCCTCAAATTTACCAACCATACCAAAACCAACATGGTAAATTTAGAGATTCCTTATTTAAACGCCAAATTTTTGCTTTTAATTCACAACATTTATTTTCTGATCTGTAACAGGTATTCCGCCCATGATTCGATATCCACCTGATATGGTACCACACGTCCCACCTAATGGTGTGATGATGAACCAGCGACCGATGATTTTAGATCCACATTATAATGTTCAACCTGAAGCTACGCCGATGGGTAATTAACGGAAACCACAATTCTGGTTTCAATTTGTCTACGTCAACTATAAATGTATGCTTGGTTCCTTCGACTATTAGGTCGATACTGATCTTATATGCAATTAAAAATATTCTCGTAGAAGTGATACCAGTTTCCGATCAAACTACGGCGCAATAAGTAAAGACATTATTGTGTCTTTAAAGATTATTGTAAATTTTGATTTTTTTCGAGTATAGGACTTAAAACATTACGAACAATTCACTTTTTTTTTTTTTCTTTTTTTTCTTTTTTTTTTCTTTTTGATCAAAATTTTTTTTCAAATATGATTCCATTTGCCTAATTATTGGGTAAATACACACTAAAAATTATGGTTTTAGAATAGGATTAATTGATGTACGATGTTATATATAGTAGTCGTCTGGCATATAAGATAGAATCAAAATTATAAAATTCTTCGGGAGATCGTTTACATACAGTTATCCAATTTTGTATATTATGAACCCTCAAAAAAAAAAAATTAAAAAGAAAAAAAATTTTGGATCGTTATAAGGTATTTTGATGCAAAATATTTTTTAATGCATTATAATTTAATGAAAACTTCTAGGTTAAAAAGTTGGTTCACAGAAGGTTATCAATTGTACATAAAAAAAATTGATTTGAATGATTTGAATTGGATCAGGAAATAAAATTTGGACAGCTTAGTCAGCGGAAAGATAGTATCTAGCATAAAAAAACGAGCATGTCAGGCAGGAAGTTACAGAAAGAGTAATATTTTTGATCATATCCAGCAAGATTTCTCACTAAAGAATTTATCTATACATAGTAGTATGGTATGGGCCGCATATATTGACAGTGGCTTTAAATACATTGTTCGCAGGGCCATGAAAAATTTAATTTCAAATACTTATATGAGTTTCCAAAATTCCAGTGACAACACTGGACTAGATATTATATAAACAAGTATAGAATGGAAAACAGAAAATAAAGAAGCTATAAACCAACTGTAGATATGAAACAGCCCATATTAGCACATAGCTGATAGGCAGTGATTTTCATAAATCACACCAGAATCAGAAATCTAGAAAAAATGCAAATCTGTGATTGGCTAAAAATTATTTTTAACCAATCACAGATTTGTATTTTTTCGATTTCTGGTGTGATGTATGAAAATCACTGATCACAGTAATTTGAAAAGCGCAGTAAAAGAAAAGTAAAATATAAACCCATCAAATAACGAAGCGATCAAGATTATTAAATTCAAAATCATTCATTATATTGCATTTATTCCAAATTTGTAGCAATGTTAATTTACTTTTATGTATTAAGTTTTCGCAAGTCTTGAAATTCTCTATGTTGGTAATATAGTCAAAAGCGTAATTAATTTATTATATTTTTAATTAATAATAAAAAATATTTGGATGTATATAAAATATAACTCAAAATTTTACAATAAAAATAAAAAATAGTTAAATAAATAATAAAAATAGTATGAAAAAATATAATATAGTACCTGATAATTATTCCAGACCAACATGAAACATATTTTGTTTACTATAATTTCTAATATATCCATATATCTTAATGCAGACATATAAACAGCAGTATGCTAAAATTTATAATTTTTTAGAAATAATTAAATAATTCAATTTCAAAAATCTATAGTAATAATACCTACATGATACGTTAAACGGAAATTTGATTAGGTCTAACATATGAAACAATTAGGGAGGCACAATTTTTGGGTTGTTATGGCATTGCTATTCATAACTTTCGGAATTTTTAAACAAAGTACATACACTTCATGAAAAGGTTGAATGAAATGTACCTGAATATACAGTAAGTATAATAAATTTAGTATCCGTGAAACCTTAAATGGTATACGTAAACATAAATTATAAAATTTATTGAATGATATACCTTTATGAATCGATACATCTTTGAAAAAAAAAAGATTCTTACAAACTGAATTTCATTGACAATTCAATTTTAATATATTCTTTAACTTTTTCGGTAAATTTAATGCTTTTGGAAACCTGTATATTAGACATATAATATCACACCATGTTTAACACTAGAATGAAACAAATTTAGGACGAATAAAATCCTAAAACCAAAAAAAAAAACTCAGCATAATGAAAAAAAGGAAAAAAAACTCGAACGCCAATATTATCCTGTGATATCCTATGTCCTATTCCTCCCCCTTCTTCTTTCCATAATTTGTATCCTTGCTTCAGCATCCTCCTGTGATACAGTTTTGTAGAATAAAGGAGGTTTTGCGTTTGTACGAGGAAAAAGAAGTTCAGGCGCAACACGATTTACATTTTGTCGCACATTTGATGTAGTGGTTGCTGAAGTAATTAAAAGTTATTATTAAATAACAATGAAAGAAAATATTATAGGAAAAATGAATATAAGTTATGTACTATTATTTTTTCCATTTGGTCGTGTATTATGGCTAGTAGATTGAAGTATTTTTGCTTCAGCATCCGCGATTAATTCCCTTGCCCTTTCTGGAGTTAAGTATTCTAGTTCAAGAGGTCGCCCCGTTTCAGCAGGAAAAGTAACATGCCAGAGTGATTGTCGCGCATTAATTGCTGATGCTAAAGCTTTGTACTATCACAAACATTGATAATGAAAATAATATCACAAATTTACTATCTCATAAGTAAAGTAAAAGATAATAATTTACAAATAAACCTTGTAAAATGGCACATGCCTGTACGTAACAATAAGACTTGATTTTATCCATCCAGAAATATTCAATCTCTCCGAATTGTTGTAATAATTCTCGAACCATTTGAAAAGTTAATGGACGAACGAAATTTTTAATATAAAGAGTCGATGTTGGCTCATGTTCAGATGGAGGTACTATAAAAGTTTTCAGATCGAATAAATAACAGATAATTTAAAGCTCAAAATACATTATATCCAATAAAAACAGACCTAAACGTTCAGGTTCGTGAAATTTATTATGGGTTTTTAACACCCTTCTTGGCTTTTTCAATTCTTCGATTAATTGAATATTTTCAGATGGATTTGCAGTTGTGGGCGAAGTGTCTGTTGTCACTGTTAACGTAACAGGATCTAAGGTAAGTTTATAGTCATAATTCACTTTAATTCTTCCAGTTATACTTTTTTTATACTTTTTTTTATCATTAAGGAAGTACTCTAACCTGTAGAGTCCGGCATTATGAAGAAACAAAATAAACGTATTTACAATCAACACTATATTCACGGAAACAAGGTAATCACAAAATTTAATAATAATATACACATAATATAGTGTAGCAATTTTATAGTTTCACAAGTCACATGGTCATTATGTGATACAATAGATACAATATCAATTTCTAATTAACGATATATAAAATTCAAAAGAACTCAATATTAAAAAAAAAACTATAGAACATTGACCAACGTAATTCTGCAACACACATAAACGTGATGATATCCTTTAATATCCCCTAAATGACATTGGCATTTTGTATCGTTAAGATAGAAAGCGAAGGCAAAAATTCGTTATGACAACAGCTATTTTTGTCAATTGAATCAATTGAATGAAAATTAAATCCAATGTAAATTATAAAAAAACATATAGTATAACAAAAATATTATCTTAAAACACTCACCAACAAGAAAAAGGCAAAGAAATGTAGGACCGTATCTATCATCGTAAGGACCATGTTCCTTCCTTCTTATTTTAGCAGCTCTCCAATGATATATAAATAACGCGTACATCATGATAAGCATAGCTTTTATTTAAACAGGTATACAAATCAGTTTTGAGAAATAAATTCGGAAGGACGAATCAAAAAAAAACAAAAAAAAAAACTTGTAATAGTGTACCAACAGCAGTAAATAACGCAGCGGATATTCTTCCAACTTTATCTCCAAAGTTGAGCAATCCAATTGCAAGGCCGCCTAAGACAACAGTAAATTGTAGCCATGAAAGGAACGTTCGCTCGTTCGCAAAGAAAACCTAAGTTACACCAACAGCATTAGACGGTTTATTATCACAATTTTAATTTTAGAAAATCTACATACTTTAGGTTCAACCCTAACAGGAAGAGCTATTCGTTTAGGAAGAAGAGGTTGAGTCGACATTTTTGCTAAGGCGTAAGAGGAAAGGAGGAAGAACAGACATCAGCGTAAGCTTTTTATAAAAAATTGGTGTACCAAGTACCGATTTCAGCGATTTCAGCCCAATATTAAAAATTTACCATTTATAATTCATTAAAAAAAGTCCGATTGGCAAAAAAAATCTAAGGGTGCTTACACAAATCCCTGCTTAACGTTAACATTAAACATCTTAATAAAAATTAACTGTGAATGTTATCACCTGATCGAAGATCGAAAAGATTTTGTATTTCTTTTACCCTATCTAGATGTATACTAGCAAATAAAATTAGTTTGTTCATCAACTCTGGCCAAACAAATGTTTCAAAAAAATTTTTATTAATCTTTATTCAAACAAGATTATCTTTTAAATAGCAATTTTTTTGAATTAATTCGGGGTTTTCCGCAAGTATAACCCTAACACAATGAACTATACCTTAAAAAGGGAGACTTTCGTAAATTTGTCGTAATTTCTGTACTTAATCTGATATCAGATATAACAGTTAATGTTTACTATGATCATATTTTATCCATATTATTTTTATTAGTGTTTGGTCTTTCGGTCCTAAAAACGGTCTATTGTTTGATACTTAGACCTATACTGGGTGGTTGAAAAGTAATAAAGTAACTGAACAGGGACCTTTTTTACTATCTGCTAAAATCAATTTTTAATTTTATGTAAAAAAAAAAAAAAAAAAAATTAATTATATAATCATAGATCAAAAAAGGTTACTTTTTCGATTTAGTGAAGACTAATTGAAATCTCGATATAGTGAAGTTAAGCTCAAAGCCAGTCTATATAAAATTCTCTCGATATAGTGAATTTACTATAACGAGAGTGACTTGTATATGTTGTAGTAAATTCTATTTCTTATTATTATTATTATCGTTATTATTATTATTATTATTACATTTTGGACATACATAGTAAATTGGAACGTCTATATATGGGCTACCGTCAATAAAATCAGGCAGACTTTAAAAGCTTATACCTCGATGAATTTTAAAGCTATTTTAATGATTCAAAATAAAAATAAAGCTTCAGAATTCATCGATATATAAGCTTTTAAAGTTAGGGTATTATTTGGGATCTTTGCTAGGAAAATCACCCTTCGGGATTTTCTTTAAATAAACTATTGCATCAATAAAGGTAAAAGACGACTTACATATAAATAAGAACTGGTGGCCCGTGCGGAAAATCCCGAAGGGTGATTTTCCTAGCAAAGATCCCATTTTTTTTACTGCTACTT